AAATCTACCATAGCACTGGTCACGTCCTGAATCGTTTAAAATGGGATCGTCAAGATTGATATCAGAATTTTGAAATAGTTTAAATAATTACTGGTTTGTTTAATATTCTAGCTATCAGACGATTCTATAAAATAGATGAAATTCGTTAAAACATCAATTAGAAAAGTTACTTTAGAACGAATCACGTCCTGGATCCTTCATAAAGAATCATCAGCGTTTATTACACAATATCGACTAGTTTAAAATTATTTTAATAATTATTTTATTATTTAATCCTTTAGCAATCAGAAAAATTACAATTAGATTGGTTATTTATTTTTTTTAAATGATAAAAAACGAACGTCTGACCATAGATCTTTTTTATTTTGATACTGTAGCACCACATGTATCTCCATATATTTTATTATTATTTTTTAAATATTTACGTTCTATTATCACCATAGCCCCCCAATTTTTGATGTTGTCCTGCAGGGTAACATACTTGCTTCCCTTCTCTTTACCATTTACACTTTCCTATACCTACTGCCTAATAATTCCTCGCAGTTACCTCGCCGAGTCATTGAAGAATCGGCGTCTTTCCTATACCGTGAATTAAACACTTATAATAAACCCTTATCAACTCTCTGTTTTGAGGCTGACGAGAACGAATTATTTTATGTGTACACAGCTGACATCTCACCCCATCCCCGAACCGCCGAACCGCTCGGTCCTTTGACCTGACACAACGATACAAGGGTGTCACTCGAAACCTTTAATTACTACTGCAATCGAAATCACACCATCTCTCGCCCGTTCTTTTTGTGTGTATGTATATATATATATATATACCGTGAATTAAACACTTATAATAAACTCTTATCAAGTCTCTGTTTTGAGGCTGACGTGACCGAATTCTTTTATCGACAAGTATTAATTATTGTCAAGAAAAACGGCGCCGCAATTATACAGTTCTTACATATCAAGATGTTGTGATGGTTTAGCATCAGGGCGCGCCGTTAACAGAAGGAATATTTTAGCCATACAAGATATGAAATTATCCAACGAACCGTGAACTTTATAGTTTTCTAATTTCCAAAACTAATGCATTATTGTCGTGTGGTAGAATAATATAGATAATAACAATAATTTATTTGAGAAGAGTAGGAATGTTTTGGCCATATAAAATATTAAAAACTCAATGAAATGTGAATTAAACTCTTATTATTTTCTAATTTTCAAAGTAATAAATTATTGCCGACAATACAGAACAATACAGATAATCACTATAATGTATGATATTCAATGACTGTTACTTAATGATAATTTGGAGATCGTGAGATGAGATCTGGACCGCATTCACGATCTCCAAATAGTCAATAACCATAATATTTTTCAGAAGAGTGGAGATGGTTTAGCCATATAAAATAAAAAAAATCCATTTAACCTTTAATTAAATGCGTTCAAGTTTCTAATTTCAAACTAATAAATTATTATGGTATGGCAGAACAATATAGATAATATATAATACTTTTCCGATCATATTTTGCCCATATTTCCAGCGTCTGAGAACACAAAACTTTGTTGTTATCGTTTCAGTGTTTGTTTGAAGTTAAACTTTGTATACACTATATCAATTATAATTTTTTAATTAATTTTCGATTTATTGCCGGAGGGATTTAAGCCTTTTGTAATGGTACTAATAAAAATCGAGCCGTATAATACTGCCTGGATTGAGAAAATTTGCTTAAAACTGACGTGCTTTGTACGAAAGAGATTAAATCTCTATTTTGAGGATGACGTGAAAAAATAAAATTCCCTTGCCGTCAAGTATTAATTTTTTGCTAAGAAAAACGGCGCCGCAATTATACAGTTCTTACATATCAAGATGCTGAGATGGTTTAGTATCCGGTCGCGCCGTTAACCGTGGGCATTTTTTTCCAATATAAAATATTAAAAATCCAGAGTACCTTGAATCAAACCTTTATATTTTTCTAATTTCCAAAACTAATAATAATTATTGTGGTATGGCAGAATAATATATATAAAAAAAATATTTTTGAAAAGAGTGGGGATGTTTTGGACGTATAAAATGTTAAAAAAATTCAATGAAACGTGAATTAAACTCTTACAATTTTCTAATTTTCAGTTTATGGATCGGCTAAATATTCCAATATTGAAAGATTACAAAGTTTTCAATCCAAAATTTTAAGACCAATTGTTTCTCCCTCTTTTTACGTAAACAATAACACACTTCACCGAGATCTTCACTTGCCAACAGTTTTTTCATCCATCAAAACATATTTGCACCGTCTGAGAACACAAAACTTTGTCGTTGTCGTTTCAGTGTTTGTTTGAAATTAAACTTTGTATACACTTTATCAGTTATAATTTTTTAAATTAATTTTCGACTTATTGCCGGAGTGATTTAAGCCTTTTTTTAATGGTACTAATAAAATCGAGCCGTATAATACTGCCTGGATTGAGAAAATTTGGTTAAAACTGACGTGGTTTGTACGAAAGAGATTAAATCTCTATTTTGAGGCTGACGTGAACTAATAAAATCCCTTACCGACAAGTATTAATTTTTGCTAAGAAAAACGGCGCCGCAATTATACAGTTCATGTAAGTCTAGATGCTGTGATGGTTTAGCATCCGGTCGCGCCGTTAACAGTAGGAATATTTTAGCCATACAAGATATGAAATTATCCAACAAACCGTCAACTAAACCTTTATAGTTTTCTAATTTCCAAAACTAATAATAATTATTGTCGTGGCGAAGAACAATATATATAATAACAATAATATTTTTGAGAGTGTATGGATGTTTTGGCCATATAAAATACAAAAAACCACTTAACTGTGAATTAAACGCTTATAATTTTCTAATTTTCTAATTTTCAGACTAATAAATTATTGTGGTACAGCAGAACAATATAGGTAATAAATATAACATATTTCCGAACATATTTTGCCCATATTTGCCGTGGCTGAGAACAAAAACTTGGTAGTGGTCGATGAAATATTTTTTTGAAATTAAACTTTGGATACACTATATAAATAATAATTTTTTAAATTAATTTCCGATTTATTGCCTGAGGGATTTTAGCCTATTGGTGTTAATAAATGTTGAGAGATCCTTGGCAGGTTATTTGCCGTTCGATACTGCATTGATTGAGAAAATTTGGTTAAAACTTATACGATAGGGATTAAATCTCTATTTTGAGGCCGATGTGAAATAATAAAATTCCCTAGTCAGCAAGTATTAATTTTTGCTAAGGAACACGGCGCCGCAATTATACTGTTCTTACATATCAAGATGTTGTGGTGGTTTAGTATCAGGTTGCGCCGTTACCCGTGGGCATACTTTGGCAATAAAAAATATTAAAAATCCAATGTACCGTGAATCAAACCTTTATAATTTCTAAAACTAATAAATTATTGTCTTGTGGTAGAACAATATAGATAATAACAAAAATATTGTTGAAAAGAGTGGGGATGTTTTGAACGTATAAAATGTAATATAAATGTAATGTATGTATAATGTAATATAAAATATGTATATACCCAGTGTGGTCAATATTCTAATTTGATTTTGTTTCTTCACGTTTATTACTCCTGCCGCATTTACACTTAAGTAGTATCCGTGAGTAAGGAAGAAACGAAAATTCATTCGCCATCACGTTCAAGCAGGCTGATGAAGGAAATACAAAAGAAAACAGCCGTATCTGGTAATCCTCATCATCCCCTAACCACAGACCATCCTAATCTGCTTTTCATCAGAGTAATTTTAATTTCATTTATTTTTATTAAATCTCATCACGCATTATCTTTTTTTTCTCTTTTACTTTCCAATCTCGAACTGGCGGAAGATGAGCCTCGCTTTTATTTCTTTTGTTTTTCTCTTATAATTCTTAGTATTTTTCTCGAGAAAATAGTCTTCCGAAACGATATTTACGGTCTGGAAATATTGGATTCAGCCAAACATTACAATTCTCAGAATTCCAATCATAATCCTCAGAAAAATCTCGATGCTCTATTCAGTGTCCGACGAAAATACCCATACAAAACGTCTTAACAAAGTAGGTTCAAATATTTTTTTATCAATACACAAAATTGATATGCGGTTTTTTCCCCTTTAAAAACACCTGGATACAAATGTTTGAGAAAATCAAAAAATATTATTTCTCTCAACAATTTCGACTTCCGCTTGTCGCTGATTTTTATTCGAAAAACACAAAAATTTCGATAACTTAGTAAAGTTCTACCTGTCTACCGGAGTACTTAACAATGATTAAGAACCCTCTGAACTACACGCAATGCAATATCTTTGGCCTCTGTAGATAAATCAGAACTGGAAATATAAAATATAACATTTAAAGTGTTTTTGTTTATTTCTTTATTTTCCTCACTTGTAATTATGTAAAATCTAAATAATGTTAAAATAGCCTTAAAAAGGAATATTTTTGCTTTCCGACGGTTGTGATATTCTTGAATTTTGGCGAAAACCAGAGAAATTATGAATTTTTTAGAAGAACGCCGCATCACAGACAAAAAAAATTGTGCCTGGTTAATCCTTCTCAAAAATTTATTTATTTATTTGCGATATTTGTACTTAATAGTTTACTTAACTAGTTATCTTCTTTACTCGAAGCGCCTTTTAGCTTTTGTAATTTTTTATATGTTTAATCTCATTTAATACTATTTGGATTTATTTTATTACTCTAGATAAAATAGATATGTACTAATATTGAAATATGAAATGTAATAATGGGACTTTTTAGGTGTAAGGTTTAACTATTAATTTAAAATTACTCAGCAGAGCTGAAACAAAATATAATGGGATTTTTTTCTGGAAATAAAACGAAATGAAGGTAAAACGGCGTATTGTTTTCACGCATGGGACATTGCTAAGATCCAGATATAAAACTTAACCCTTTTTACAAAAATTGCAACTTGTTTTTAAATCGTTGAATCAGTTATTTTCAACTAATCCATCACCTCGGCCGATTTCGAATACTCACTTGTCCGATTTTATAATAGAGGAATTTATAAAAACCCCAGAATCCGACGACAGTGCCGACGAGGAAAACTATGACCCCGGCGACTCCCAATTTCATTGGTGCTTTCATGGTGAAGACGGATTGTCAACTGAAGTGGGTGTTATTGGCTATTCATAAGGTTAACTGCTAACCTCCTCCTAACCGATTGCCCTTGCTCGGCAACGTTAAATTATCAAATACCGCCTCTCCTTTCCTTCTCGCCGTCCTCTTTCCTTCTTTTAAAATAGAAGGATATCATTTATAATTCATGTCGTTTCTGTGTCATTTGCCAAAGAGCTCTTTATGGATAATAAGAGATTTTTCGTATCGATTACAAAAACAAACTGGTCGAAAGTTTTTTTTCCTACTCTTATACACAATCGAGTCAAATTTAGTTTGAAATTTTGTTTGTCACTTGAGATTCAAAGTTACCTAATGTAATGCATAAATTCTCCCTCTGTAATTCAAAGTTCGTTTGTTTCAAACCCACAAATAAATTCTGCTTACTTTCAGCTTCTAATTAAATTATTTTCTCCGAATTAACGAAAAGGTCCTTTGTCACCGTAATGGTAGATTTCAGTGAAGATCTAATTGATTTTCATACTTCAGTGTTTCAGACATGTTTGTCTTATAATACAAATTCAAAATCTGTGTCTTACTATTCAAATTGAGTCCGTAGGAGAACGAACGAATTTTGTCTTGGCATATTTTATAAAGATAGTTTTTTCAGGTAATTAATTTTTTGCCTCGAAAAAGGAAGCTTTTGTCCTTAGAGGCGACCTAAATAGGTTTTCATAAGAGAACAAACGAATTTTGTCTTGACTTATTTTTATAAAGATACTTTTCTTTTTCCGTTGATTAATTTTTTGCCACGAAAAATGAAGTATTTGTGTGATAAGGTGCAGTAGAAGGGAACTGAATAGGCTTTCATACGGCAAACATCGCAAAGCTGTTATCCGAAGCACTCCCCGCTATACCAATCTAGACAGAGCCTAAGACCGTCCCTGAATTACAGGCTCGTTTAAAAGTTATCTTAAAACAAACCTTTAAAAGTCCCATTTTATATTTTTAAACTATTAAGTTGGTACTTTGCCACAATCGCCTGAAAAATCGATAAAAAGAATATCCGGCAATCAACGGAAATTATTAACTAGCTTTTTCATTACATCCTTGGACACAAGTAAGTATATTTGATATATTTGTTAAGAAAAATAAAATCCTGAAATCCCTAGTTTAAACGTTTCAAAATTTAATGTAGAACAATAAAGAATAAATTGTAGAGACTTACTTTAATATACTTTTTTCTTATGATTGTTTCTTAGAAGTAAGTTAGTTATTTAAAAAAAAAATTTCGTAATAAGTTAGTTTGTTTTTCAATGAACTAATATTTCTTAAAGTAATTTGCTTATCAGAAGCTGTGAGAAATATATATTTTTGTGGTTACGTTTTTTTTTATCTCGGTGTAAAATCTGTGTACCTGAATTTTTTTCTGAAAGCTGTTAAATAATACGTAATTTAGTTTTAGTTGGTACAATTATTTTCATGTGGTAACTTTTTTATTGGAATCAGCTAATACGAAGTGTCAAGCGACTGCTTTTGAAGTTACAAGCAATATTGTTAATATAATTTAAGCAATTGTTTATCGGAAGTAACGTTTTTGTATTTTCTGTTAAAATTTTCTCATGACGATGCTAAAAATCATCCGGCGTTTATGGAATTGTTGAATACTTGGTGAGAAATGTTTCACTTTGATCTCTCTCTCTCTCTCTCTCTCTCTCTCTCTCTCTCTCTCTCTCTCTCACTCACACACACACACACACACACACACACACACACCCGCTCTCACACACTGTTTATGTTTGCATTAAAGCAACTTTAAAACAACTGTGTGTTTTTTAGTGACGGTGGTTAAGATAGAGGTAGTGTAGAAAAACGCAATTTTCATTTTTTTCCGGCGTTTCGACTTTTATTCGTGTCATCTTCAAAGCCTGGGTGAATTACAAAGCATTTGTTGATTGGAACACAGTACAGATGTAAATATAAGCTTTGAACCAAGTATTTCGTACTCACATAAAGTGTAGTGCTACTCTTGTGGTGTCACATTGGTTTTGTTTGAAACTGTTACAGTACATACACTTTTTTTCAACGTCAGAGACACAACACCAACGGCCGATATAATTTATAAAAAGAACTTTCCAACAACATAATTGGAATTATCTCGCAATATCTGGAAAAACGGAAAAAAACACATCTATGACTGTAGGACACCAAGCATTTTGAAAACTAACGCAAGAAGATCGTGGGTTCGAATCCCGCTCGTGACACTTAATGTTTTATCTCAACTAAAAACCTTAATTAATTGAAAGATATTAATTGGTCAAGCGGACCACGAAAACTAGTGAATTTAATAAGTTAAAATGAAGTATACCTTCACTAAAGCTCTCCGTGGTCATTTTATTTGTCGCCGAGAAACGAATAGATTCCACGACATTTGAAAAATGGCAAAAAAGAGGGAAAATTCAAAAGGTGGGGTTGAGATGGGAAGTTGATGTCCGAGTGGATCGAAGTCTCGATAGCTCAGGTGGTACAGTAGCGGCATATCAAGCCGAAGGTCATGGGTTCGAATCCCGCTCGTGACACTGACTTTTTTATCTCAACTGAAAACCCTAATTAATTGAAAGATATTAATTGGTCAAGCGGACTACGAAAATTAGGGAATTAAACAACTTTGATTTCGACAAAATAGAAATACTAAACACTGAAAAAAAGAAAAACAAATACAAACTCAACTTTCTAGAAACGGTTTAAATTAACAGATACATGCACAGCATTAATTACCGAACAAATACATGCAAACTCAGCCCTAGTTACACCAACATCATAAAGCAAATAAACAGTTAAACTTTATTTTTATATTTGTCTTTCCTTTGTTTTACTGCTTAACAATTAACTTCCTTTTTAATACTGAATATCTCCGAATCACAAACCCAATCCAGAAAACCCCATTCTCGACTTCCTTTGAGTTAAATATAACCGTCTATGATCAAAGAAAACTTCCCAGATTTACCGCGTCCCCCACCCAAAAACTGCAGAATACAAATTCACGTTTCACAACACTTTCACACAAAGCCAATATGACACCACAACAATAGAATTATGTGAGTATGAAATACTTGATTCAAATTTTATATTATAGTATTGTATTTTTTTTTCCAATCAACATATGTTTTCAAGATGACAGGAAAAAAGGTCGAAACGTTGACAAAAAACGAGAAAGGTATTTTTCTAAACTACCTCATTCTTCACCGCTCCTCACGAATCCAACAAAAAGTTTTAAACATCTGTTGGAACAAGGAGAATACCATTGTGATTCATGATGTAATCATGAGTTGTTAGAAAAACAAAAACAGTGTTTACAATTAAAATAATATATTATGTTAATAAACAATTACACAATTGCATAAAATATTGTACATAAAATAGTATGGGTAATGCGGATTGAAAAAAAGACTACTATTTCTAATGATTTATAGGAACCGTTTATGTTTGAATTAACCATGCAATACATTAAAAATATTTTTAAGTCCTGCTGAAGTGGATTCCTGAAAAGCTTGATAAAGGAACTGGGTTATTTCTTTCTTCCAAATGTACATTATCCCTGATATTTTATTATTATAATATTAAGGCCATATATCAACCACATCAAGATAATTTATATATTTCTAGAGACTATATAGTTTGTAAAAAAGATAATAATTCTGTGGAATGAAAAAATGAGGAAAGCCTGCTGAGCAGTGTTCACATATGTGGTGATTCGCCGTGCGGTTGGTTGGCTGTGCTTTCTTCTTTTTCGTCTGTTCGGCTCGGCGGCTTCTCGTCTTCCTTGACGACCGACAACCTCGAATGAGATTTTTCAAGGGGAGGAGCATTGGGCGAAAGCCGTTCGTAGAGCCTTTCCGAAAAGGTGTAAACGTCGACCGGCTGCATCGGCGGCGATGGTATGTGAGGGTGCTCGGACGGCAAGAGCATCTCAGTCGACGACTTAAGGCTGTTAAGCAGGCCTGCGTTGAGGCTCATCGGCGAAACGGAGCGGACCAGCTCCGCCTGACTATTGTTGGGCGAAGGCGATACCCTGGGGTTCTTCTTCGTCTTTTTCCTCTGCCTCTGGACGATCCCACCAATGCAGAGGCCACTTCCGACAACGATCAGCGTCCACTTGACTCCGTCAGCAAGGCGCAGACTGGTCAGAAGATTCGCTTCAAGGAAATTCATCAATTCCCCTTCCAATTCCAACCCCTTAAATTAAATTTTTAAATTATTTTTAAGTCTGTGTTTGAAAACAAAAGAGACTACCTCTTCCACCCAGAAAATTGGTATCAGGGTAGACTTGAGTTTTCTCGTGAGGTTGACATGCCTCACGGAATGCACCGGTAGGTTAAACTGCAGCCTCTTTTTCGCAACAAGCGGCGTCCCGCTTATCTGAAACCATTAAAAATAAATTCCAATTCTGACACAAAAATTTTAAATTTTCTTACAGGTTCCATCATGAAAGTGATTTCGTGCTCTGACTTCTCTGGTCGTAGGCCGACAACGCCTTTCTGATAACTCTCGTCCCCGAGGTAAAAATGCGGAAGCGAACCCACCAGCGGTGCTCCTATCAATTTTCAATTAAAGTAACACAAACTAGGAAAATTGAGTTTTCAACTCACCTTGGCACTTCGTAAGATCGGTAACTCCTTTCTTCAAACATCCAGTTCGCGGGCAGTAGCAACTTTCTTTCGGATTGTTAATCATATCCCCTAGGTTGACAGTGTAGATGTGGCCCTTGATTCCCTTGTACTCTCCCTCTTTTTCATATCTACCATACAAGCTCCTTAAATCAAATTTGACATGCTATTAATTTACCTATAGTTTTTCCCCACAAATTAACCATTTTTAATTAAATGAAAATTAAAGCATTAAAACGTAAACCACGTAAAATAAAATGCCAGCATATTTGGTCTTTTTATGTAATATTTAATGATTTGGCTCTTAGACAATGATATGAAAATTAATTACAATCAAAACTAAAATACGGTACAAAAGCAAATCATTATTATTATTTTGATTTTAGATTTTTTAAATATAAAATAATGGGTCACTTACAAACATGAAAATCAATAACAATAATTACCATCAGTATCAATAAAAGAATATAACATTTATTAAAAAATACTAATAATTACTTCTGATTAAATTTTTTTTAAACATTAAATAATTGTGCTTTTAATGAATATCACTTTACCTGCTTACATTTTATATCATCTTCTAGGTTTATGCAGTTTGAAAAAATTTAAAGTGAAAAAAGCTAATTGGGATTAAAAAAGTCTAATTTGAAATTAATTTTCATTGAAAAATTCTTAATTTTTAATTAATTAATTTGAAGTTAAAAACTATGCGTTTTTGAAAAACTTTATAAAAATTAATTTCAATTAAAATTACTGATATATTTATATATTTAAATTTGTTTTGTTTTTAAATGTACTATTATATAAAAGCAAAATTCTTTACTTTATTATTTAATTTTACATAATTTTTAATTGTAATCGTAATTAATTTCCATACGGTCTTTTAAGAGCCCGATTATTTATTATTACAAAAAATAAAAACGATCATAAACAGGAATTTTACTTTACATGCTTATTTGTAGTTCATACCATCTCTAATTTGAAATTAAAATGTTAATATAATATGAAGTAAAAAACTGTTAATTTGAAGGTAAAAAAATGGTTAATTTGAAATTGGAAAGAATTTTGATACAAAAAAGTGTTAATTTGACAGAAAAAGTTATACCATGCAGTAAAAAAACGACTTTTACTTTTTTTTTTTAATTAAAGACAAAGCCTTCTTCTTTTTAATTTTTTTGTTTGTTTTACTTTTGTCTTCTATTGTTTAAAAAAGACCAAAAAACAACCATAAAGTTAGAACAAATTCCAGAGTGAATTTCATTGAATAAATTACTACCTAATAAATAATTAATATGTTAGATACTCACTTCCAACCACCTTCTTCAGTTCCTTGTATTTTTTAACCCAGCAAACTGGATTTATTTTCTTCCATAATTCAAGAACAAAGTTCCCTAATGTTAGATCTCCTCAAATCTTCATTTTTTAAAATAATATTTAAATTCGAAACAATACGGTTTCCAAAGGAACCCTTCGACCTTGATTAAAAAGAGATTTCCTAATTTTTTTTTTTGCAACTGCGTTGTTTCAACGATCAAGTAATTATCATTGCAAATAGACCCAAAATTGGGTCAGTTCAACTTAAATGATAATAAGTTCAATCGTTTTTGTTTTTAAGCGTTGCCAACAACGATTATTCCTCAAATATTGAAATGCAAAAGGATGATCGATCCTTCTTTCAATAAACGGCGACAAGGAAGTTGAAAATTGATGGTTTTCAAACCGGGGGAGAGGGTCAAGGTATGGCGAGCTTGATAATTTGATTTAAAATTAGGCCCAATTCAATTACCGATGCTCCTTTCGTCGCGCCGAAGAAGAAAAGGATTCTTTATCCATTTCTACATCCACTGTACTACAAGTAAAATAACTAAGACATTAAGAAAGTGAATGAAGTTTATTGATTTTTGAAAATAACGTATATTATTTCCCGAAGAGCAACACTATAGGAAAATATTTTGGCTAACTATTCAGAAATCGTGAGATGCGGTCTGTGATGTATCTTTCTGAAGATGATGTCAATAAAGATCGAAACGTTGGCACGATAAAGAAAATGTTTTTCTCAAACCTACATCACACCAGACCGCATCGCACGATTTCTGAATAATCATCGACAAACGGTCACTAATCACCACACATTTTGGCCAATTTTGGGCTAAAAATCCTAAACCTACACTAACGTACAAGTCTAATATATAATTAATTAATGTACAGTTTTATTACAGTTCTTTGAGAAAAATATTTTCCATTTAAAAAAAAAACGACATGCCAAGTCATAATTTATAAGATGTGTTATAAATATTTAAGGTTTATTTACAGAGCTTATATGGCATTGACGTTCCCGAAGCACGTACGTTATGAATTATTTTTAAACAAATTTAAAAACTTTTTTTTTCAAAAATGGTACAAAGTTGATTATATAAAACATCCTTTACATATTAGGTTATAATTACTGTTTCATTAATTTAAAAAAATGCTGTTTAAAGGGGTTCTTTTATTCAAATGGCTGCTAAAACGTATGTAATATCCTTCATTGTGTAGATACATTTTTGTATTCGGCTCGTTTTATTTGATGTAATATTTTTAATGAAGCTAATTTAATATGTGCATATATAATTAGTTGATCATAAATTAAATATTTTTTATAGATAATCATATTAGCTTTGCAAGAAAGGGTACACATAATCAAAGGAAATCTAATAAAAAAGACGACGTACTAAAAGCTCTGGTAATGCTCTACGGCAAAAGATTTTTTATAACACAGAATCGATGGATTGTATTCCTACTAAATACCGATATGTTCGATAGAGTTGATTTTTTTAATCAAGTATGATTAAATTTTCACGAATGATTTTTTTTTATTGCCACAAATTTAAGGTGAAAAAGTCTAGTTAATATTCGACAGGGCTACGTTGGGGGGGAAATGATGCAGAAAAGAGGTCGCAGTTTATTCTCGTTAGACGTTTTTCAGTCTGTTGCAAAAGGGCGGGAGTCGGGCCAAGTCTAAGGACTCGTGTATCAACGATGAATTTATTATAAGGTGGCGGATTGATTTTTTTATAAAGCTTCTAACGATTTTCAATCATAGCTTGAGAACCGTCGCTCAGGATTTATTCATGCACGGACGACCCGTCTCGTCGAACCGTGTAGCCTGAAAAATATTAATGCTAACTGTAATGACAGTTTATACTATTTGTATTAAAAAAATGGGGGTCATTATTTCTGGGTCATGTCACATTTCAACTTTAATTTTTCCTTGCATATTTTCCTATCCATGCTGGTGTTCCTCAGGGTAGCGTTCTGGCCCCTACACTCTACCAGGTTTTCACAGCTGACATGCCATCTCATCCCGAAACCTCACATTCGCATTTGCAGACGAAACGGCAATTCTCTCTCGTAACTCCGACCTTGTCATTTCCACTCGAAACCTCCAACAAAACCTCATACTACTAGAGTCTTGGTGTAAAAAGCAAAGAATAAAATTTAACACAGACAAATCCACCCGCATTACCTTCACTCTTCGTAAAAAGATTCCCCCCCCCTGTTTTCTTAAAAAATATTCCTCTCCCAACTGCGGACAACGTGCGGTACCTCGGACTGTACATCGACAAACGCTTGACGTGGAATCCTCACACTGAAACGTCAGGAGGTTATGACACGATATACAGTTCTTGCACGACTTCTTGACAAACGTTCTAATTTACCTCTCAAAAATAAAAGGCTGGTTTAAGGCGATTTGGACTTTGGACTGGAAGTGTGGGGTTCAACCAAACATTCCAACATCCACCGCATTCAAACTCCTCAATATTTAATATTACGGAAAATACTGGATGCTCCATTTTATGTATCGAACCAAACTACACATACAAGATGTAAATCCGTTCCCGTTACCGTAAATTCCATAAAAACCTCACAACTAACGTAAATCAGCACATCAGAAACCTCGCATCCCGACGAATCCACTCAAACTTTCCCCGTCGACTAAAGAGACAATGGCCGATCTCTCGGAGAGATGATGATGATAGTGAAACTGATAATGACACACGTATCAATTAAACAAACAATATTATTGTAACATTGCAGTAATACCGATGGGTGTTTTCTCCACTCTTGATTTTAATTTTGTATATATATTACCTTGGTCACTGTTACTTGAAAAAAAAAAAATTTATAAATAGCGTGTACCTTTTCATTCCAGCCTCCCTTATTGGAACAAAGCAAGTTAAAGAAAAATTAAATTATAATCCCCTTTTATTTACTGTAAGGGATTTGTTTCTATTTAAAAACCCTTTTTCTACCGCAGATACAAAAGATACCTCGTTCAACTTTTTTTTTTCAAATAAAAACCTATGTGTGTGGTGATTAGTGACCGTTAGTCGATGATTATTCAGAAATCGTGAGATGCGGTCTGGTATGATGTAGGTTTCTGAAAAATATTTTCTTTATCGTGCCAACGTTTCGATCTTTATTGAGATCATCTTCAGGGCCTGGGATTTACAAACAATGTTTACATTTAACAAATACATTTAGGATGTGGAAAAGTGAATTTATACAATGCAAAATATATTTTTTATATTCGTTCAAAGTATTTCTACTCACTCAAAGTGTTTTCTGTGTAATTGTGTCGTTGGCACGATAAAGAAAATGTTTTTCTGATACCTACATCACACCAGACCGCATCTCACGATTTCCGAATAATCATTAAAAACCTATAGTTTTGCTGCATATTCTGAATGTAAGTAATTTCCCGAGATACAATTCTCTTTTTAAACGGCCTTATGAACTTTGCGTACTTTTTTTTAGGAGGAAGAGTTGCGAGAGTCAATCACGTTGACCACTCAGCCACCGCAGTCCCCAAATTATAATATATTAGAGGTAAAATTAATATTCAATTGGGTATTAGATCTGCAAAAATTCGATCTGTGTGTTTTTTAATATTTATGACGCGTTTAATCCTGTTTTGCTTTCCTAAGCCGTCGTTCATTACATATGTATTTATTTATTTTAAAAGTACAAATAGGGCTTTATGCCCCCTTACATGTGCTTATATTAGAAAAAAAATTCAGTTTTATAAACATAATAATAACAGCAATAATAATAATAATAATATTCGAGTGATTTAAAGGAGTTACTAGTCCCCAGTGATTGTTGCTAAGAGCATTTTTTAGCTTTCTTAAATTTATTGAAATTTATAATGAGATTTTGGCCTTTTCCTAAATTCTTACACCTTTGAAGGTTTGTCTTCTTGAATGAGAGTTCTGCGTGCAAGATATCTTTCTTTTTTTCAGGAATTTTTGAGCCTGCCGGAGCGGAAAGAAATTTAGTCGTTTAGTATTGCAAGCTACAATTCCCAAAATCGCAATTTAAATAAGGAAAAATAGACCCCTCAAAAAAAAAAGAGCATAAAGAAAAAGAAGAGTTATTGTGATTTTGTTTTATTATTATTGTTAAGTAGCATTATAGTGTATTTATAGTGTTTGAATGGAAGAATAAAATGATAACGATGAGCTTATTCGTTGTCAAATATTTGGGCGTTTCTTTCGACAAAGCCCTTCGATGGAAATCTCAAATAGCCCAATTGTCTAATTCAGGAAGGAAAATACTAGGCCTGATGAGATTTCTCGCTAATTATAATTGGGGAGCGAATAGAGACATTCTTTTAAGAATATTCAGCATGAACTTAGGAGCAAAGTTTCGATATGGAGCAGCAGGTTACTCTTCAGTGCGAATATCAACTTTAAAACCGCTTGATAGGATTTATTACCAAGCTATCAGGATTGCAACAGGGGCGTTTAGAACATGCCCTTTATTTAGTATCTGCAATGATGCCGGTGTCCTTCCTCCGGATCTTTTCAGGGAGGAGGCAATTCTTAGTTTTGTTGCTAGACTTTGTTCTAAGCCTCTCCGTCTATTTCCTTCAGTTTTCCGTAACCCTTGTATATGTATTCGTTCCTAAGAACTAGGACAAACCTTTGGGAATCTGCGGTACTGAAATGTTGAGATTAGGAGGGAATACCTTGCCGGTGGTTGAAGGTTTTAAATTTGTAAATTCACTAATTTCGTGGTCCGCTTGACCAGTTAATATATTCTAATTAATTAAGGTTTTTAGTTGAGATAAAAAGTCAATGGCACGAGCGGGATTCGAACCCACGATCTTCGGCTTGATACGCCGCTGCTCTACCACTTGAGCTATCGTGACCTCGATCTACTCGGACACCAACTTCCCATCTCAACCGCACCTTTTGAATTTTCCCTCCTTTTTGCCATTTTTCAAATGTCGTGTAATCGGATTGGATTCTTGACGACAAATGAAAAGACCACGGAGAGCTTGAGTGAAGTACACTTCATTCCAAATCATTAAATTCACTAATTTCGTGAATTTGGTCTCAACTAAAAACCTTAATTAATTAGAATATATTAATTGGTCAAGCGGACCACGAAATTAGTGAATTAAAGATTTGGAATGAAGTACACTCCACTAAAGCTCTCCGTGGCCTTTTCATTTGTCGTCGAGAATCCAATCCGATTACACGACATTTGAAAAATGACAAAAAGGAGGGAAAATTCAAAAGGTGCGGTTGAGATTGGAAGTTGGTGTCCGAGTGGATCGAGGTCACGATAGCTCAAGTGGTAGAGCAGCGGCGTATCAAGCCGAAGATCGTAGGTTCGAATCCCGCTCGTGCCATTGACTTTTTTATCTCAACTAAAAACCTTAATTAATTAGAATGTTTTAAATTGCTAGATATTCCACCGTGGTCATTACCTACTGCCACAATTATCAAAGATCTGGCCTTATTGAACAAAAGAGAAACCTTCTCTGATGATCAAGGCAGAATTCTTGCGAATTTTAAATAGCTATCCCAATTATAAAGTTTTTTATACCGATGGGTCCAAAAATTAAATTGGTGTACGGTGTGGGATATTTCCTGGTGTCAATCGAATGAGGCTATCGTATATACAGCTGAACTTCATGCAATCAGAAGATCATTGAGCATTATAAAGGAATCGCAAGGAATGCCATTATTTGCTCTGATTCGAAAAGTAGTCTCGAAGCCATCAAAAATAATTTCTCGGTTGACCCATACATCTTAGAAATTCACAAATATCTCTATGAAATCAGAACACTTAACAAACATGTGGTATTCGTTTGGGTTCCTAGTCATGTCGGCATTTCTAAAAATGAAAAAGCTGATCAACAGGCAAGGAACGTTGCAAACCATCCACAAAGAACAGATCAATTTCCTCTTCACCCAGATGATATAGTCGTTTATGTTAAAAACATTATCAAACGACATTGGGCGGCAAGGTGATCAACTGAAGAACTTGAGAGAAAAGAACTTGTGATTCTCTCTAGATTGCGAATAGGTCACATCGGGCTAATCCATGATAGGCTTTATTATGAGAAATGTTTAAATTATAGAACAATAACAGGAATAAATTATAATTTGAAACGGATTTGTGCATACATTTGGCCTTCCAAATTAAATATTTTAAAAAGATAAATTAATGCCTTGGATGGCAATAGATTAATTTATGAGTGAATTTTGGAGTCAGGGCTTTATAGCACTCAGAAGGGATATACCAAATATGTAAGGTTTAAATGTTAGGGTGTGACCTCAGCCGTTAAAACGCCCATAAAAATTAATAAAAATAATAATACTTATTTAATATATTAATTATTTATAATCAAACAATGAAACTACATTAGGAAAGAAAAACAGAAAGAGAAGGAAAGGAAACGAAAAAAAGAAAAGGAAGAGGTAAGAAAAGGTGATGGATTATGTCGTTTTTAAAAATTCAGATGCCATGGACTTTAAAACAAGCCAGCAATGAAGAAGAACGTACTTTCCATGGAAGCAAATTACACAGTCTTGCTGCAATTCTGAAGGATAATTCTAAAGTTAAAGAGGGGTGTTGGAGGCTTGGGCGTTTGGACAAGGAATAAGGGAAAATAATTGACATTGAGGACATTTATCTGATTTAATATTTATTTAGAAATCGTGAGATGCGGTCTGGTGTGATGTAGGTTTCAGAAAAACATTTTCTTTATCGTGCCAACGTTTCGATCTTTATTGAGATCATCTTCAGGGCCTGGGATTTACAAACATTGTTTACATATAACAATTACATTTTGGATGTTAAAATGTGAATTTATTCAATGCAAAATATATTTTTTATATTCAATCAAAGTATTTCTACTCACTCAAAGTGTTTGTCTTCTGTGTAATTGTGCCATTTCACAGAACAAAACAAACATAAACGTAATTTCTTAGAAATGGTTTATATCAACAGAGATAAACACAGCATCAATTACAGAACAGATACATGTAAACTCAGTCGCAGCTACGCCAATATCATTAATAACATACCTATATCATCACATTACATTCCACACATCAAATATTTTTCACATAGTCTAATTTCCCAACAATTTAGCTTTCCTTTTCCTATTTATCCCTTTCTATATAATCCTGAAGGGATAATCTGGCCGAACCATTACCAACACATTTTTTCCCTTCGTCGGCTCTTTTCACCTCAAAGAAGCCGACGCCTTATACAAAAATGTCATTTCTATACCGACATCCTTCCCCACCCCTTCAAAATCCAACGTTTGGAAACATAAAACAGCAAAATCTCACTGGCACTCTCAACACGACACGCAAGAATGGCACAATTACACAGAAGACAAACACTTTGAGTGTTTGAGTGTTGAGTAGAAATACTTTGATTGAATATATAAAAAATATATTTTGCATTGTATAAATTCACTTTTCCACATCCAAAATGTAATTGTTATATGTAAACAATGTTTGTAAATCCCAGGCCCTGAAGATGATCTCAATAAAGATCGAAACGTTGGCACGATAAGAAAATGTTCTTCTGAAACCTACATCACACCAGACCGCATCTCACGATTTCTAAATAAATATCGATTAACGGTCACTAATCACCACACATATCTGATTTAATTTTAAATATATAAATCTCTACGTTTACAAATGTTTAGAAGGGTTGCTGAAGGCATTAATGTAATATGAAATATGGTTTGTTTAAGATCATCAGAGTATCTAATACAGGAATGATAAGCAATTTGAAAGCAATGAGCAGATTGAAGTCTAAGAAAAGTGAAAAAATATCATTACAGTAAGAGAATAAAGGAATAATTAGGGATTAATAAGGAGAACTTGAGTTTTTTTAGTCAGTGGAATGAAAAAGCTTAGGCGTCGAAGAGAATGGCGGCTTGAGTGGATATTTTTAATGATGGAGCTCACATGGTTATGTCATATAAGATTGCAGTTAACAATAAAGGCGAGATTTTTAACTTTAGGACAAAAATTAATAGGAGAGCCGTTGATATGAGGAGGGGATAGGCAATCTATACTACTAGAGTCTATTTGAAATTAATAAAGACTGGGATTTTTTAGGGTTTAAAAAATGCCGTTATTTCTTGACCATTGGTTGGGGGAATGAAGATCACGGTTGAGAAGAGGTTGCTAGTAGGACATGAGTGTAATCAGCGTAATGACGAAATTGGGAGAAATTTGACATTTAACATCATCGTCAAAATATGACAAAGTACCTGCATATTTCAGGCGAATAGGCGATTATGCTCATGTTGTCAGGTCCTCTGAATGGAGGGAATATCGTCGAATCTGTCCCGGTGAGTTTGTTGCACTCTTCTCCTAGCCAAACTGAGTTTTCACTCTTGCCGTTCAACTTGACGACACTGCCGATCTGTTTGGAATCCTTGACTCCTCGTTTTACGGTGATCCTGACGTCCTCAGGGGTTGCATTTTTCTGTAAACGTTATTTAAAAGACATTGAAAAAGTATAAAGATATTTTACAAAAGCATAAATTGACCTTCAAAATGAGAAGAATATCAATTTTTTTAAATAAATAAGCATCAAAATCATTGAATTCTGTTTTGAAACAAAGAATAAGCTTTGTTTTTTTACAATATCCAGCAGTTTACTAGATCAAAATATTCATAAATAATGTATCAACGAGAGTTTCATTTAAAAACAGAAATTAGAAAAGTAAAACTTTATAAAACCGATCAAATCTGACTAAATCTTGTAGGGCAGCTTCTACCCACGTCCTTCAAGTTCGAGCTTCCGCTCCAGACATCGACCTTGTTCTCCAAAGCAAGATAGCAGTTTATAAGATAAAATTCTAGCCCCGGAAGCTTGAAAGAGACTGCTTGAAGAATGAATTTCCTCGTAAATAAAATTGACAAATTACGAGATTGGATAATACAACAAAAATTAGGCTAACACAAAACCATCGGAAAAATATTTTCGGATAACCCAAATTCCAATAATAATTTCATCAAATTCCTCGACCGGTTCAAAAAGCAAACATTTGTCTTCAGCCTTTAATATGGACGTCAAACACATGTACTTTGACTTCAGTTAGTTTAGTAATTTTTTTAGTACGACGGGCAACACTTCAGCTCCTCTATCAATAAGTTTGGCCCCGACTCCTTATTCAAACAAAGGGTAACTTCGATATATTAAAAACTGTAGTGCGCCATCTAGCCAACGGCTTGATTTTTGATTAAGCCAACATAAACTGTCATATTTTGTTAAGGAAATATAGTCCTCATAGATCTTCTTTGCTATTAACTGTTTCTTTATCTATTGTAGTAATAATTATACGGAAAAAGTGTAACCAACGAAGAGAAAACCTACTAGGATAGGTCGGATTTTTAAAAATATAATCTAGCTTTAAGCTTTAATCCCCCCACTAGGTACGGAGATGAGGTAGATAAGGAAAAAGTATTAGTAACAAAAGATTAACCGAAGAATTCTAACAATTAATACATTTCTATCGCAAAACTTAAAAAGAATAAGAATAGCAACGTTTACTAAGAATAGCAGTTTTAATTAAATAAATAGATAAAACTGTCTATAAATTATTGTACAGCTTCTCCAAGATATTTAAAAAAATTCTTTGAGAGAATGAAACAACAAAAGATGGGTTGAGATTAAAGGCTTTCAATAAGAGCTTCTTCAAAATGAGGGCATTGCAGTGGTACTGGATATTTTCGTTATTCCATCGATGATTATTTATTGGTTTCTGGTGATAAGATCTTTCGTGAGAATTTTTGTTCCTTGACTACTTGGAAAATGAAAAATATGATTGGAGTTTTTCTAATGTTTTATGTGGCCAAAATATACGTATTCACGGCGCGATAGAATGCTAAACCTGGACGATTTCTTGACATGTATGAACTATATAATCATAGTGCCGTGTTTCTCGGCAATACTTGATAATTATCGAAACGGGTTTTTTTCTTTTGGATGGATTGATTATTTTAATTTATTTAACACGAGAATCATTAATGGGCATTTTATTATTATGCCATCGATAATTTATTGATTCGTGGTATTTCGATCGTTCATGAGAGCTTTGATTTCAGTTATATCCAATCAATAAAGTTTTATATTGTCGCGCGTTGGCCGAAGATGATCTATAAACCAGAGAAGGGCAAAATCTAACTAATTCAATCATGATTAAGAATTTTGATTGAAGTTTAATCATGATTGAATTAGTCATGAGTAAATTAATCAATATATGATTTAGTCATGATTAATTCAATCATGAGGTATGACTAAATCATACAATGATTAATTTACCCATGACTAATTCAATCATGATTAAACTTCAATCAAAATTGTTAATCATGATTGAATTAGTTAGATTTTGTTCCAAATCCAACAGACTCCGGATAAAAATTTTGAGATGAGAGTCGTGCTCAAGGCCAACCTTCAAAAGTGTTATCATAAACGAAAACCAAAGTTACATAATTATTCTACATGTCTATCTTATTACAGTCAAGACCCCTAGATGGTGTATTTTCCAAATAATGTAAAAATCTCTCCTTTCAAGTGGAATAAATTTTAATTCAAAGAAATATTTTTTCCATTAATCGGTTATGTAAACATATTTACTTTTCAAAGCGTAGCTTGTTCTAAGATTTATTTTATTTTATTATTATTATCATTATTTTTTGGCTTTTCATAACGACGTAGTTTTACTTATAATTGGAAGATTGATTTTTGTTAAATAAGGTGTTGAAGGATTTTCGTTTTGATGAAATAAATTTATGTTAGAATTTTTTTTTTAAATGATGAAGTTGTGTATTTTTCATTTTTTGAGCACCCATTTGAACATGATTTATCGAAATTTAGTCATGACTAATTATATTGTGACTAAATTAGTCATGCCTAGTATTTAATTACTAGCCATCAATCACATATGGAGACTAATTAGTCACTTACTACCAATCATGACTAACGGTTTGAGTGATCAATCATTAATCATTAGACATGAATAATTTTTGCCCAACAATCATTATGGGGGAGGGGGAGTTGATATGATTGATCCTATCCCACGTAATTCAGAGGTCCTTGAGATCCCGATCAGTTTGTAATGCCTTGCATACCTTGACTATATATATTTGCTCTTACCACTAATTAATTAACTCAAAATTATAAACATATATACTTTGTATATATGTTTATACATTGTATATATATGATATATAAAACAAGTATTGGGATTGAAAAAATTTCGCTTTTGTAAACAATTTTCAATTTACTTTATTCTTTTATCTTATTTTGTTATGAGTTTGCATGCAATAAGTTTGTTTCGTTTATTTTTATTTGATTTGTTTTTATCTTTTCACAGAAGAGTAAATTTTAAGTTTTGGTTTTATTTCAGTTCGGTAAAATAAAATTCGAGACGATCCGAAGGGCCACACCAACATGTAAGGTTTCCAATACAAAAATAACTATGAAATTATGACTAATTTTGAGTCAGAAGAAAAATACCCAGTGTCCACAAGAATTAGGACCTATTTTTTTAAATTAGTGTTTGATTGGGTTTTAAAATTATTGTTATAAAAAGGAGTAAAATATTTGGCTTTTCTCGACAACCACTTCATAATTATTGAGAGGCACACAAGAATAAGAAATCGTTAGAAAATGGCTATCAATTAATTATCAAAGAGTGTCACCAAAGAAATTTCAACACAGCCCTTAGCAGGTGGCGTATATTGATATTGAAAGTCCAAAAAACACGAATCAAACCGAGCAAAAATCAAAATTACCTGCGTCTTGATTTGGGTAAAAATTAACCTCATCAACAACGACTCAAACAGCAAGACAAGCAGAATCTCAAGAGCAAAACGGGTGTAGAACCTAAGAAAAACGTGTATCTGTATATAACCTCATACGAAGTTTGCTTTTCTACTTTAAAACTAGGCCAGAAATATAATAGAACGAAGCAAAATAATAACATTACTTCGAACAGTTAAGGGATGATGTAGGTGCAGATGTAAAATTTCAGGGCAATTTGGCATACTACGCTCTTTGACGAATTGGGGACCATTCCATACCTACAGCACACCGTGAGTACCTATTCGTCAAGGAATTTATCTTTTGCGAATAAGTGCACCACAGTTTTTTAACAGGTAGCTTGGGGTCCTTTCAACGTCGCGGTTGCCATGGTATCGACGGAAAATTTTTTACAAGGTTGATTAACATATCGATATTTTCCGGATGTAAAAGAGTCTTCATTTGCGTCCGTCCAGATGGACAACCCAAATACAAGCCACTGAGCATTCCAGCATTATCTGCATTTCAGTAAAATAGGACGTTCCTGTTACTACTAATTGCCAATCCAACAATGAAGATGATGTGATGGAGAGCGTCTAAGAAACTGAATGTGTGGGTTGTTTAGTAGCATTATTATTTTTTTTTTAAATGGATACCAGGAACTGGAGTAGTTCCCTGTACAGCTTATTGTACTTTATCCCCGGCTCCATTTTTTGGGGCTCGCAACACAAGTGTGAATTTTCAGCCCCCGGTGTTCTTCCATCAAAGAAACTCATTTTTTAAGGGGGTTGGGACCAAATTCAGAGTGGCTGAGATCTGATCCCGCTCCTTCCATTGATGAGTGCCGTGACAATTTCTTTCAATTGCGGCCACCGGTCCTCTCAGGCGTCAGAAAAAGTCCAGAGGTGACGGTGGGGATCGAACCCACGACCGCGGGATCTACTAGCCGAGAGTCTGACGCCTTAACCACTCGGCTACCGCGGCCCCGCTAGTAGCATATTTAGTACAATATATAGTATAAAATCAGGAAAAATCAAAGAATAAGCGGTATGTTTCTATATTTTGCAGTAAAGAGGAAACCAACAAAGGATGACCCCTTTGCAGCTTAATATAAAAAGAGCACAAAGAGGGAGAAAATATATAACCCATCTGTTCGCCAGCAGCCAAGTTTTAAATGGCGCCGACGAACACCACCGGGAGAGAGGAAACGAAATTAATAAGAGGATTGTTTCGGCACCAACGGGAATTGAAGATTCCCGATTTTAAGAGGGGTGTTAGTTTAGGAATGGTTAACTTTAAGGTTTTAGGAATGAATAATGAACGAAAGGATAATTGAAGACTCACTGTTTAATGAAGTTTCTATGGCTTACAAAATGGCAGATAATCGTATTGGAGATGTGAAGGCGATGACGGTCTGAAGGCGATGGAGACCGGGAAGTGGTGAAGGTCTCCTTGGCGATATCGTGCGTTGTTTGGCGATGATTAGGCCGGTATACCGACCTGGCTCCTGCAGCGTCGTTGGTGATGATGATGATGGATGATGTAATCCGGTAGCGGTGAGGATGAGACGATGCAATCCAGTTAGTAGCCAGTGAGATGATGGAGTCTTCGTGGGATAATGGAGGATGTTGCGTTCGCGGGATTATAATGATGGTAGATGGAAGAAGGAGATGATATATTAAGGGAAAATGGCGATGATAGATTTGCGGACCATGCGGTCGTGAGATGGGACGCAGGCGGAGGTGAAGATCGTTTGGCGATTTGCGTGAGAATCCTTGGGGATTCGCGGGTGAGGAAAACTTTAAGAAGCGACGATCTTACACGGACTCAAATTGCTATGGCGCAACACTTTAGCGGGATAGGGCGGATAGGACGTGTGCTCGCTCCGAGAGCTGGCGGAGAAGAGAGAGCGCCCGAGAGGGCTGGAAGGGATGAGGTTTGGAGGAAAAAGGAGGGAAGTATATGACGATTGGGGGATTTCTAGAAAATAGGGGTTGTAGATAGAGGGGTACAATCTACGTCGCAAATCGGGCGCTTCGGTGACGTAGACGCGCCCGAACACCATCCTTTACGAAATCTTTGCAGCCAAAGGATCCATAAAAACGTATAGAATACTCTTCATAATTTTAAAAACAAATAATTCACCCGTGGTCCGAAAGTTATTTGTCTTCCTCAGAGTGAGTGGGCAAAAAAAAGAGAACAACTATGAAATATGCTGAAAAAGAACCGCCTGTGGTAAACGTTTGAAATTGATTTAACTTTTCATATGTTTGGTACACTTAGTGATTAAAATATTAAAAGGTTTAACATTAAAAACGTGGAAATGTAACAATTTTGATTTATGTCTATCACAGTAATAAAAAGATTGATCATAGGTAAAAGTTGGACGTTTCATATTGTTCTTCAAGTATTTACGTTCTTTCTTCCATCCCTCTGATTTCTCGTTTGTCCAATACAAATATATTTGCGACTTCAACGATCAAATAAACGTAAATTTTTTTTAAAAACTGACGACTTCTTAACAATCATTTTGTTTATAAAATCCACGGTTGGGCGCCGTAAATTAATTCCTTTTCAGAGTGTGCATACAATAATGGTTAAGTATTGCTTCCAAATAAAGTGGAATAAAATCAAATTATCGAAAAAGATACGGACTTAAATTACTGCTCAATACTTGATGAAAAATCAACTTAAAAGTACACAAACCGAAAGACGGACTTGGAATACCCAAACTTCAGTCATAATCGAAGAAGTATTTTTACAAAACTTTGGTAATAAATTCTTCCGCGAAATCATGCCGAAACTGACCCCACAGATGTACAGATACGTTGATGACATACTTGCCATAGTAGACGTCAACAAGAACATAAACCACATAAGAACCGACCAATTACAATTCACGGCAGAAGTATAAAAATACAAAATGTAGTACAACAATATATTATTCATATTATTTCTCAATAGATTTAACGAATCAGATTTGGTGTGATTTCTCCATATTGTCTGCGGGGTGATGAACGTTAATAGGTGGTCGTTATCAAACATTTTGGTCACTGAAGTCAATTTTCTTTTATTACGTTTTTTTCTTTTTAATCGCTATAATACGTTGAAGGGTGTAAATTAGGAATTAGCAAACTTTTTTTTAGGAAAAATCGTATAATAAATCGGGTTTGATAGGCCAGGTTGAAAAATTGAATAGGTATATTTTTTAATAGGTACTTCTACTCATAAAGCAAAACAAAACTAGCGATATTTTTTTTAGATTTTTAATGAATTTATGGAATGATGAAAATTTTAATTTACTGTTGTGAAAAATGGATACTTCATGTTCCTCTCAGTTGTTGTACTATGTTTTATAGTATTATCATGTTTTTTCTTAACTTATAATTTTTACGAGACAAACCAGATAAATCAATGTGGTGGAAGAAAGAACATCTTTGCTTATGAATAATACAAAACGTCCAACTTTTGCTCGAGACATTTTTTTATTACTGTTGCAGTGTTACATTTCCATGTAGTCAACCATAAAGTTTTTAATGCTTTAATCACCAAGTGTATCAAACATGTTCAAAGTTAAATAAATCTCAAATGTTTGTCATGAGCGTTTTTTTCCGCGTATTTCATAGTTGGTCTATTTTTATTTTTTCCCACACGTTCTCCTATATCTACGGGAAACCTTTGGTCCATGGGTTATGGATTATTGGAAAATTATCGGCTTTTAGAAAAATTCATAAAGGATGGGTAATTTCTTTTTTCTCCTTGTGCACTTTTTAGTGACTGCAAGGAGTCCTGTGAAATATAAAAACAGCCCGCTTTTACATTAATTCTTCCTGGTCAAAGGTAGCATTCATTGTATAAATAAATATATATATCTATTATCCACTTATCGTATACTTAATAAAACGGCAAAAAGAATATATTTGAAATAACATCATCATTGGATTGACAAGTAATACATACAGCATGCTTTAGGACGAAGCACCATCTGTAAGTAGTTCACCGTCAGAAAACCCTTCGGACTTATTTTACCACTCGATATATTGTTGTTACCATACGTGCGTTCGTTTTTTACAATGAAAATTGCAAAATTGTAAGTGTTTATTTTTCGGTTCACTAGATTTTTTTAAAGTTTTATATGGGCAAAATACACCCACTGTTCTAAAACAATTTATAATTATTATCTATATTGTTCAGCCAAACCACAATAAATTATTAGTTTGAAAATTAGAAAATTATAAGGGTTTAATTCACGGTTCATTTGATTTTTTAATATTTTTATGGCCAAAAGATGCCCACTGTTCACGGCGCGACTGGATACTAAACCAGCGCAACAACTTGACATGTAAAAACTGTTGATTGTTGCGCCGTATTTCATAGCAAAACTTGATATTTATCGACAAGATAATTTTATTTTGGGTAATATAATTATTTTGATTAATTGAATAAAGGAATAAATATTATTCATCCAGTCTCAATTTACTGTTTGAAAGTATTCATAGTTTTAAACATAATGTATCTCTAGTGATGGTTTATTCATGTTTCATACGATAACACAGACAAAGCTTATCTCTAAACTTTGCAAATAGAGTTGCAATAACTGTTTCTATCCAAAACTAAAACAAACGGACCGCCCTACAAATAGAAACCTTAAACAAATGCGATGGAGCATGACTACGAAAACATTCGAAGAAAACAAACGCGAAACAAATATGACTTTACGCCAAAGTCAATTCAAGCCCAAAACCACGTGATCGATTCATCCGGCATCAATTTGAAGAAATTATAAAAATTTTCTTAATGGTAATTTCAGCTGATACACTAAAGACATCTCAATCAACAGTGAACTTATATTAACTGTGATAATAAGCGAATAAAAATGTCAAGATAAAAAATAAGAGTCTTTAAAAGTCAAAACTAAAAAAAGGACTTGATCAATGTCTGGTGAAAGTTTCGTCTGGTGATAAATCAGAATCAACTGGTGTCAGCAGTTCGATCACCCTTTACTTCTTTCTACCTGAGCTTTATTCAGCAAAAGCCAAACGTCACATTGTTAATGAACTTTGACAAATAAGCTCACCAAAAATAACTATTTTTTTCCATCCCTGAGTTGTAATACTACTGCTCCCTTAGTTTCAGACATTGAAGTTTAACTATTATCAACTTTTGTAAGTCAATTCTTGTAAATTATGTAAATTATTCTTTTGGTAATAAACTAAAAAACTCTTGAAGCATAAAAAATATTAAACTTACAACCCCAAAAACTGAAAATAGATATTGATTGTTGGGCAGTTTGACTAAGGGCCTACTGTTCTGCTTCAAAGCGACGCAGACCGTCCTTCCGACGACGTCTCTCGCTCTGCAGTCGATGTATATCCCGTCGAACAAGAGCTCGCGAACCTTGGCTTTCATAAACACGTTCTTCAGTTTTCCGAATATCTTTGGAATCGCTGCGTTGATCACCGTCAACATGGGTGCTGGAAAATCCGCTTCGGCGATAAGCAGCATGCTCTGAAAATATAATCGCTTTTAGATTAAATTTCGAATGATTAAAAGTCAGAAGACTTACGAAAAGTGGCACATGAGGGATTGTGACGATTTCCTCTCCTGTTAAAGGATAGCTCTCCTTTTCCATAAAATACCATGTGTTTTTATTAGAATATGTTATCGTGTCTTCTTCAAAATCATCCACGAGGTCAACCTTTCCTTTCCACTCCCTGAAAACAAAACAAAAATCATAATTCCCTTTTAAATTGGTTAATGAAAAAAGACACGCCTACTTGTAATAATAAGGGCCGATTTCGGCCACAACCGGTATCCCGCCTTTTTGCACTTCGTCGGGGTTTGTGATGTTAAACACCCAAATTTTAAAATCGAAAGCCTGAGGTATGTTATTCCAAATTTTTCTGATGTCGGAGCCCTCCTCAAGGTGGACGATCTACAACACATTTCGCTATTGTCATAAGGCAAAATAAAAATTACAACAAAACCGGACAATTTTAGTACAAAACCACTCTGAAAAATATGAAAAAATTACCATCATAAAAACATTATAAAGTAGTAATTTAATCAGACAAATATCGAGCATATGTACGTAAACCCCGTTTGAACTTTTTAATTACAAATGGTCCACTATTTTTTAAACCTTTTTTTCAATAACTGTCAACATTTTCTTATTGATATAATGATCAATATATTATATTAAAACCAGAGGTCAATTACAAACCAATTTCCTTGTTGGCCAAGCTTTATATTTTAACATTTTAAACAGATTCAATATTTTTATGCGGATTTGAGAAATAATTTTTACAAATCAATAATACCGACGGAAAGAAACTTTATACCTCCGTGCTATTAGGTAAAGCAAAAGGAATTAAACCAGTTCGTTCAATACATAATACCCTCTTTTATAATTTCGAAAAGAAAAACGCTGTTGGACCAACTCAAATCAAGTCGACAAGACAAGAGAAAATTTGAAAAAACATATAGACATGTAGACCCTTTATTTTATTATTTCATAGGGAGAACTTTGTGATTTATACTTCACGATTAGTCTTACAGTGTTTGAAAAAAAAAAAAAAAAAAAAGAATCTTCACTTTTAGATTATATCAGATCTAATTTATTCTTGAATGAGAGGGCTAAAGAATAGGATCATAAAAAAATTGCAGAAGAAAAGTCTTAGTTTACTACTGGATTGCCTTAAAACTGTACTTTTCACCCTTTATACAGTAATTTTGCAGACAGCAAATCTGTTGTGAGATAAAATTACTGTTTGCTTAAATTAAAAACAAGAATTTTTGAAGAAAAGGAAAATACATTTAATTTACTTTTATTATTATTTTCTTGTTGATTTATTAAAATAGTTTTGAAATTTGATTAATTTCAATTATAAAAAGGAATCTGATTCATTTGTAATCCGATCTGATCAAGACCTCTAGAGCTCTGTTCTAATAATTGGAATTCAGAGTTGAGCCCATCTTGCTTAGATCAAAAATATGGCAAAGCACACACATATATTATTTAATCAAATTAAGCTTTTTTCCAAACCAAATTAAAATAATAACTTTAAACCAAATTTAACTTTAATCAAATTAAACAATTCCCTAAGCAATTGAACTTTTTATTAATTTAATTGGACTTTTTACGAATATAATGATTTTTATTATATTTTTAATTTTTATTTATTATATTTATTATTTGCTTTTTAATTGATTTTTATTATATTATATTTTATTTAATGTTTCAAAGAAATTATCAAATTAATAATGTTAATTTTCAAAACATGGGGAGTGTTTTCCAAACAAATATCATTTTTTTCACTCTTTTTTTTTCAAATAAATTTAATTGTTTCAAATTAAAATTATAACTTCGAAACCAAATTCGACTAACCCTTAATCAAATTATTTTTCTCAACACGTCTAAACAATTTTTTTTAAATAAATAAGATCTTTCTAAAACAATTTGCACTTTTTGCAAATGAAAGTGGTTTCGTTTTGTTTTTGAAACCAAACTGAATTTTTTAAATAAAAGAGATAGCTTTCCAATTCAAATTTAAGTTTTACCTAATCAAATTTTATTTTTACCAAATCTAATTAAACTTTTTCTATAAAATTCAATTTTTCCCTAATAAAATTTGACTTTTTGACTAAACGGAATTAGATTTTCATAATCAAATTGTATTTTTGCCTAATGAAATTTAACTTTTCCACTTCAAATCAACTTTAATTTTTACCTGACCGAATTAGGCTATTTTCAAAAAGAATTGTCCTTTTTCCGAATCAAGTTGGACTTTTTCCCAATCAAATTTCATTTTTACTTAAATTAACTATATTTTTTCAAAGAAATTAATGTTTTTCAGCTAAATATTTTAATATTTTTAACGTACTCGACAAATAATTTACATAAATCGATAGCAGTCTTTTTAACATACATTATTTCTTTAAGTGTGCCGCTGATGATGAATTTAACCAATTCCTTCATATCTACCTCAAAACAAAGATGCAATATCTTTCGTAATAAACCATGTCAGTTTTAATTATATTTTTCTCAAACCATGCAGTATCAAACGGCAAATAACTGTCAAGGATCTTTTAGCATTCATTAATACCAAAAGGGTAAAATCTCTCCGGTAATAAATCCGAAATTAATTACAAAATTATAATTTATATAGTGTATTCAAAGTTTAATTTCACAGAAATATTTAAACGACAGCAACAAAGTTTTATGATTTTCTAATTTACTATGGAAACTTCTGTAATATGTTTTGATGGATGATAAAACTGTTGGCAATTGAAGATCTCTGTTAAGTGTGTTATTGTGTTATTCGTAAAAAGAGGCAGAAATAATTAGTCTTAAAATTTTGGATTGAAAACTTTGAAATCTTTCAATATTGGAATATTTAGCCGATCCATAAACTGAAAATTAGAAAATTATAAGAGTTTGATTCACGTTTCATTGAATTTTTTAACATTTAATACAAAACATCCCCACTCTTTTCAACAAAAAAAAATTTTATATATATTATTCTGCTATACCACAATAATTATTATTAGTTTTGGAAATTAGAAAAATATAAAGGTTTGATTCACGGTACACTGGATTTTTAATATTTTATATTGCCAAAAAATGCCAACGGTTAACGGCGCGACCGGATACTAAACCATCACAGCATCTTGGTATGTACGAACTGTATAATTGCGGCGCCGTTTTCCTTAGCAATAAATTAATACTTGTCGGCAAGGGAATTTTTATTTCACGACATCCTCAAAATAGAGATTTAATCCCTTTCGTATTAAACCACGTCAGTTGTAACAAAATTTTCTCAATCCAGACATTACCTAACTGCAAATAACCTGTCAGGGATCGCAAGTTTATTAATACCATTGCAAAAGGCTAAAATCTCTCCGGGTATAAATGGAAAATTAATTAAAACAATTATGACCCGAATAAAGACCGAAACGTCGGTAAAAAAATGAAAAAGGTGTTTTTCTAAACTACTTCATTCTTGACCGCTCCACACGATTTCAACAAATTTAATTTCAAACAAATAACTAATCGACGACAAAAAAGTTTTTTGTTCTTTCAATATTTGTTTTAAAAAGTATTATATTCATTATCTATATTGTTCTACCATACTAAAATAATCTATTAGTTTGAAAATTATAAAAGGTAATTCACGGTTCATTTTGTTTTTCAACATACTGACAGGCAAAAAATCCACGCAACTGGTTTTTTTTTTCATTTTCTCTATAAAAGGATATTCTGCCCTTAATTTGTTTCATTGTTTTTACCAATAAATATTTGTTTATGCTATGTTTTAATTCGGAATACCAATTAGAGGTAAACACACTTAATCTTTAATCCAAAACAAGGATAAAAAAATTTCAATGTTTTCTTTTTACGGAATTTCAAATGTTTATTCCGTCTCATTTGAATTCTGAAGAGGACCAGAATTGACCAAAACACGCGGAGTTGCACGCCTCGCATTTGCTCGAAAACACAGCCATTGGTCTTCGTTCAATTGGTCTGATGTATATTTTTTACAGATGAGTGTAGATTTGCTCTACGTTCTCCAGATGGGCTTGAAAAAGTGGAGAAGGCGAAATGAAAGTACGATGCTTGTAATTTTCCCAGAGCCAACCTTTTCAACGTAGCTCAGTGATGGTCGCATCTGGGAGAGTCGCACAGAGTTTTTGTTATTCGTGAAGGGTCCTTGACGGCCACTCGCTATGTGGATGAAATTTTGGCACAACATGCGTTGCCTATTCTTAAAGAAATCAGCGACAATCCTATTCTAATGCACGATGATGCCCGTCCACATTTCGCTCGCATATTACAAACCTTCAACAGCATAACATCAGGGTCTTAGCCTGGCCAGCCCCTTCTCCAGGATTGAACCTCATTGAACATTTATTGGATAATCTCAAAAGACGAATAAGAGCACGTCCATCACTTCCTGATCGTGAAAGGTCTCTTCGTGAAAAATGGGCTAACCTCTAGGAAAAAGACATTTCCAGACTGGTAAAAGTATGCTGAGGCGTCTTCGAGATGTTATTAAGTAAAAAGGAGGAAATACGCGATATAGAAATGTTAATTAAAAATCTAAAACAAATTTTAACTGTCCATGATTTTTTTCATTTTCCTTAGCAATTAACATTTTTTTACTATTTTAGACAAAGTCTCAATTACTAAACGTTAAATAAGGATTTCTCTTGTGGTTTGAGGCTGAGGCGAACAAATTAATTAATTTACAATTAATTAAGGTTTTTAGTTGAGATAAAAAAGTCAATGGCACGAGCGGGATTCGAACCCACGATCTTCGGCTAGATACGCCGCTGCTCTACCACTTGAGCTATCGTGACCTCGATCCACTCGGACACTAACTTCTCATCTCAACCCCACCTTTTGAATTTTCGCTCCTTGAGATGGGAAGTTAGTGTCCGAGTGGATTGAGGTCATGATAGCTCAAGTGGTAGGGCAGCGGCGTATCTAGCCGAAGATCGTGGGTTCGAATCCCGCTCGTGCCATTGACTTTTTTATCTCAAAAAACCTTAATTAATTGTAATATATTAATTGGTCAAGCGGACCACGAAATTAGGGAATTAAATGATTTTTTTTTTGCCATAACCGGCAACCCGAAGGATAGCTTTTTATTGGCATTCGATTTGGTTTGGTTTAATGAATATTTGTAGTTCCGTTTGAATGCATAAGATATTCTTTATTTAAATTTATATATATTGCTTTAAATTGTTTTTAAAGCAAATTAATTTTTGAAAATAATTGTTTAATTGAACCTGTTGAACAGCGAAGGATATGATGTAGGGCAGTGCTACCCAACCGAACCCAATCCCTCCAAGAATGAGCCCGGCACCAAATTTGCCAAATTTGGCGGGAGGTGCCTCGCTGATCTGGTCCGGCACTTGTTTCACTCTTTCCATTAAATTGGCCAACTGCGGGAAATCGTCTGTAATTTTTTTGCTCATCTTGCTCGTCATCCCGGTGCCCGGGTGCGAGAACCGCGACGGAACCTTTGATCCCCGACGATCCGACATTCTCGGGAGGCGACGTATGACTCGTCAATCTCGGCCAATAGGGCCATTTATCATTTATGGGGGACAATCTGAAACACACGTGTGTCGATAATGATAGTCGTCATGACGTGACAGTCCCCACCTCTTATTTAGAATTTATGCAACACCTTTCTCACACTTATAGCCTATTTTCAAAACAATCATCACTATTCATTGACAAAATTTCAATTTTTTGCGCAATATAAACTTGTAAACTCTTTAATAATTGCCTGTAAATGAAAACATTACTGCCAGCCAAGTTCACCCAAAGGGTTAAAGATTAAATAACATCGACGGCAGCCAGAAGCGAGATCAGGAGGACCGGGATTTGTTTAATATCGATCCAACTGTCAACATTTCATCAGCTCGCTAGAGGGACAATCAGATTTCACAACCGATTTTTCTCAAAAAATTTTCAAAAAAAAACTCCTCTGATAACGAAGAGCGTATGCAGTCTCCAATTACACATAACAACCATTTGGACTTTTCCCAATCAAATTTAATTTTACTTAAACTAATTGTACTGCTTAAAAAAAATTGATATTTTTCAGCAAAATATTTTAATATTTGTAACGTACTTAACAAACAGTTTTAACAAATCGATAAAACTCTTTCAAACAAACTTTGTCCCTCTGAGTTTGCCGGTGCTGGTCGAAATTTAACCAATTCCTTTACGTCATCCTCTAAACAGAGATGCGATCTCTTTTGTTCTAAACCAAGTCAGTTTTCACTAAATTTTCTCGATCCAGGCAGAATCGAAGGCAAATAACCTGTCAGTCTCTCAACATTTATTAATAACATTACAAAAAGCTAAAATCCCTCCGGCTAAATCAGAAATTAAATTTTAAAAAATTATAATGTACTTATTAAATTCAATCAGCAAAAAGGACGGAAAATTCAAAAGGTGTGGTTGAGATGGGAAGTCAGTGTCCGAGTGGATCGAAGTCACGATAGCTCAAGTGGTAGAGCAGTGGCGCATCTAGCCGAAGATCGTGGGTTCGAATCCCGCTCGTGCCATTGACTTTTTTATCTCAACTAAAAACCTTAATTAATTGTATTATAATGTACATAATATATTCAAAGTTTACTTTCAAACAAAAATAACAAATATATAACATAACATAATATTACATAACAAATATATTTAATCGACGACGACAAAGTTGTGTGTTCTCAGACGCTGCAAATATGGGTAAAATATGTTCGGAAAAATGTTATATTTATTTTCTATATTGTTCTGCTATTCCACAATAATTTATTAGTTCGAAACTTAGAAAATAGTAAGCTTTTAATTCACGGTTAAATGGATTTTTAGTATTTTAATTATCTGTATTGTTCTTTCATATGACAATAACTTATTATTTTGAAAATTAGAACATTATAAGAGCTAAATTCACGGTTCATTGAATTTTTTAACATTTTATACGTCCAAACAACCTTACAAAAATATTTTTTTATCTATATTATTCTGCCATACCATAATAATTATTATTAGTTTGGGAAATTAGAAAAATATAATGGTTTGATTCACGGTACACTGGATTTTTAATATTTTATATTGTCAAAAAATGCCAACGGTTAACGGCGCGACCGGATACTAAACCATCACAGCATCTTGGTATGTAAGAACTGTAGAATTGCGGCGCCGTTTTTCTTACCAAAAAATTAATACTTGTCTGCAAGGGAATTTTTATTTCACGCCAGCCTCAAAATAGAGATTTTATCCCTTTCGTATTAAACCACGTCAGTTTTAGCCAAATTGTCTCCATCCAGGCAGTATCGAACGGCAAATAACAAGTCAAAGATCTCTCAACATTTATTAATACCATTTATTAATGCCATTACAAAAGGCAATAAATCGGAAATAAAATTAAAATTAAAAAATTACAATTTATATAGTGTATCAAAAGTTTAATTTCGAAAAAATATTTAATCGACAACTACAATGTTTTGTCTGCTCAGGTTGCAAATACGGGCAAAATATGTTCGGAAAAATATTATATTTATTATCTATATTGTTCTGTCATACAACAATAATTTATTAGTTTGAAAATTAAAAAAACTATAAACGTTTAATTCAGGGTTAACTGGATTTGTAGAATTGTATATGGTGAAAAAATCCCACCTCTTCTCAAAAATATTATGGTTATTGTTCTACCATACGGCAATAATTTACTACTTGATTTTTTTACTTCATTCATTTGTATCTACAACCGTACATGTATTATATACAACCAGCGGATTTGATAATTTATAAAGTTTGTGGCATTAATGGTGTTATAGAGAAAGCTACCCATTGACAGTTGCTATGGATTAATAAAATGATTTTAATCATTTAAGAGGTCTCTTATCCATATTTTCTTCTACGTAGACGTGGTAATTGTGGGATAGTGTGATAGTATTTATGTGAAAGTGTGATTTTGTAATTTACTATAAAAACTTCTTTAATATGTTTTGATGGATGAAAAAACTTTTGGCAAGTGAAGACCTCGGTGAAGTGTGTTATTGTTTATGTAAAAAGAGGCAGAAATAATTAGTCTTAAAATTTTGGATTGAAAACTTTGTAATCTTTCAATATTGGAATATTTAGCCGATCCATAAACTTTGAAAATTAGAAAATTATAAGAGTTTGATTCACGTTTCATTGAATTTTTTAACATTTTATACGTTCAAAACATCCCCACTCTTTTCAAAAATATTTTTTATACATATATTATTCTGCCATACCACAATAATTTATTAGTTTGAGAAATTATAAAATTGTAAAGATTTTATTCACGGTACTTTGAATTTTTAGTATTTTATTATACCAAAATATATATAAAATATATTTTTAGAATACCATTACCCCACAGTTAACGGCGCGACCTGATACTAAACCTTCACAGCATTTTGACATGTAAGAACTGTATAATTGCGGCGCCGTTTTTCTTAGCAAAAATTAATACTTGTCGACAAGAGAATTTTAATTTTTCATGACCATTCATTTAACCAAATTTTCCCAATCTAGGCAGCATTGAACGGCAAATAACATGTCAAAGATCTCTCAACGTTTATTAATACCATTTATTAATACCAAAAGGCTAAAATACCTACGGCAAAAAATCAGAAATTAATTTAAAAAATTATAATTTATATAGTCTATCCAAAGTTTAATTTCGAACAAATATTTAATCGATGACAACAAAGTTTTGTGTTCTCAGACGTTGCAAATATGGGCAAAATACGATCGGAAAAATATTATATTTGTTATCTATATTGTTCTGTGCCAAACCACAATAATTTATTAGTTCGAAACTTAGAACATAGTTAGCATTTATTCATGGTAAAATGGATTTTTAGTATTTTATATGGCTAAAAGATCTCCCTTTTTTATATAATTGTACATAGTTGGAATGCAAAAATATTCTATTCTAAAAGCAGGTTTTTTCTCAGAAACCCTTTGATTACAAAGTTCTTGTATTTCAAGTAAATTATTCCACCTTTATGACCCGGTCTAAGGTTCCACTGAAGATATTGCCATTTCTTACTCGGTTTTCATGTATACAATTATTTTTATTTTTACGGGCCTGCCTGGAGATGGATACTTCACCAAAAAGAGAAAATCTGCATCACTGCATTGCGCCTGCCAAAAAGGTTTTCATGCAAAGCTTTTAATCTTCATCTTTCTTTGACTGTTTTAAATGAAACTAGGGGGCTCCGCCCAGAAAAAGCTAGCAGGCCCTAGTTGCCATGAAGCAAATATTATCACATTTTTTCAAAAATAAGTCAAATCCCTCAAAGAACAACTCCAAATAAATAAGCTCAAAAACTTATTTTTCCCACGACTCTTAATTCTAGGAAAAATACAACAAACACTACTCCAACGCATCATGGAAAATATTAGCTATGCATTTTTCTTTTATTTTGCATTATATTTTAATGTCCATCTTTGTCCTAAGCAGGGGTACATACAATTGTCCAAGTGTTAATATTGTTTTTTGAATTTATAATCAAACCTATTTTCTGAGAGCTTTGTCCTTTTGATTTATTTATAATCATAGCAATTGATTAGACGTAATTGCAACCGTTTCAAAGCACATTTCGGTATCACCTCATTCTCTAATCATACTATAGGGATGTTCACAATATCTCCCTTTTTGTTCCCAGTTAATATTTCGCATTGTAATGTCATCCTATCAATTTTTCTTGCTATCAAATGGGTCCCGTTACACAAACCGTCTCCTATGAATAAATTTTTCAATAGCATAATTATTACATCCTGCACATACATAGTAGTATGTAGTTCATGCACCACTATAAAATTCTTACATGCTGATGGATGATAAACCAGTATTGTTTCCAGTTGACATGCTATGTTTTCCTCAAGTGACCGATAATAAGCCGACTCCTGATTGTTATGATTTTTCCAATCAGCAGCCAACATACCCAACCTGATGATCTCTTCTGCTACTAAGCCAAGAAATCTGTACAGGTCCAGGATTGAGGGTCATTGTAAGGAAAATTGTCGAGGTCATTCTCAAGGTGATCTGTACGTGTAGGAAGTGAACCGTATACGCTGAAGGAACTTGGGCTCAAGGTGAACTGTATTCTTTCTCTTTGATGTTGTATAATTTATGTTGTTACAAAAAAAATTATGTTGGAGTATTGTTCGGCAGAACAAATGATTTCCTTAATAAAAAACCACACTCTTTCCACTTTTCAAAATTCCTTGAATCTCCACACCTACTCAGCATAGCCGAATATTTACCGAAATATGTAGTTAAAAATATGTCATTATTTAACAATTTTTACTAAGTTTAAGTGTTAAAATGTTTGTAATTTATTTTATATTTATTTAACAACTACCAACAACAAGAAGATAATTAAATTAATGTCTAAAGTATAAATTACACATTTAATTGTTTGCTTGGTTTCTTTTGTTTTTCCTCTGTTGAGAACTTTCAAATATTTCAGCCAATTGTCCAAGATTTCGTAAGTTTTACTCTTGAGTGAATCAAGCAAATTATA